TGAGCCACCCAGGTGCCACACCCCCAACATGACTTTTTTTAAAAATTTGAACCAAGAGTGATCCATTAAGTGGGCCAACTCAGGACACACAGAATAGGTAGACCTCTTATAATTTCTTAATTAATCATCAAAATTATCTTTCAGTTCATCTACGTAATATGGATTCTTCTTTATAAAAATAATCTCTTATTTTGAAAGTGATTGTGCAAACTTCAGAGAGAGCATGCAGTTTTCTATCATACTCAAGCCTCCCCAAGTCCAAACATGTTGTCAGCATCTTCTTTGGATATAGGTATTAAAGATCAATTAGTGGGGCACCTGGGTGGCTCAGTCAGTTGAGCATCCAGCTTCAGCTCAGGTCATGATCTCAGGGTTTGTGAGTTCGAGCCCCACATTGAGCTCTCTGCTGTCAACAGAGCCTGCTTCAGATCCTCTGTCCCCCTCTCTCTCTGCCCGCCCCCCACTTGTGTGTATGTGCACACTCACTCTCCCTCTCTTTCAAAAATTAACACTAAAAAACAAAAAGGTTGGTCTTTGGGTACTAATTCATGACATCTTAACTCACAAGAGGCTGAGGAATAAAGCAGAATGACTATTTATGCTAAGAGCCATCATTTCTTCCAGTCGTTAAAATATACGTACTCTGTCTAGTTACTTCCCTTCCAATGTCAGGGTTCCTGGGGAGCTGAATCTGTTATCAGACTGCAGACTCAGCAAGGAAGGGGCCAGGAGGGAAAACTCCTCTATTCCAGAGACCAGAAACACTCATGCCTCCCTTCCTGAATAGTGCTGGAAATATGGCAGTTCCCGGCCTCAGAGCCTCCTTCGTCTAAACTTTAGGTCCAACCCTCACCTGTTTCCTCAGACATAGGGACACCTCTGATGAGGCTCTGGATTCCTTCACCTTCATTCATGGCCTCAACTCCCAGACTGCACTTTAACCTCAGCCTTTCCAGCTCAGATCTACAACTATCCTGGGCTCTAAGGCAACTTCCAGGCAATTGCATCCAAGATGCATGGATATTATTACCAACAGTAGCTGTATCAACAAGAATTAACATTTCCTGAGCACTTATCACATGGCAGCCATGTAATGAATGCTGTATCTTCATTAACTCAATGAATTCTTATAACAACCCTCTGAGTTTAGAATAATTAACCCTGTCTTACAGACGAGGAAACTGGGGATTTGGGTGGTAACTTGTCCAGTATCACATAGTTGCTAAATGTGGAAGCCAGGATTCCAGCTGAAGTCATTTTGACTCCAGAGCCTGGGTGCAACCGTTGGGCAATACTGTCTCCAGGCTTGACCTTGACCCACCACCTCCCAAGAGTGTCTCACAGTGGACTCCTGTATGCTGAACACAGCCAACAAAGACAAGTGGTCACGAGGGCTTTCTTTGTTGAAATTTAAGCTTAACAATAATTAGTTTGGAGCGTAATTATTAGAAATCAAGCCACGATCTGGGGAAAATGCCTACAGAAAGAGACAAGGAGAAATTCTGAGAACCCATGAAAGTCAAGCAGTCCACACTGTATTGCTCCTGGTGGAGTATGTTTTAAAAATACTCCACCAGGTGAGCTTGGGTGAAAGGCTGAATAAGACACACAATCCCACATCAGGTCCTGCCCAAATGGGAAAACAGCCAAGAATCACCTCCTATGGGGTGCCCCACCTAAGGCCACAGAGAAGACCTACTCAGTTCTACTCAGAGACTGCTTGTGGCTTTTCATGCTGTGGGGTATTCCTAATGAATGAATAAGTGTTTTTTGTTTTTTTATAATTCTCTATGTGATTCAGAATCAGTGAAGGAATAAGCCCTTGGTGCTTACTTTTGAAGGACAGACCACAAATACCTGGTGTCCCAAATAGCTTTTCAGAGAAAAGAACATTGAACAGTAATGCTAAGGCCCCCTTCACTGATCTAACCCTCTCGCATTATTCAACAACAAAAAAATTTTTAACAAAGCTAGACGAGAGCAGAAGCCACTTGAGTTAATGTGGATAAAGAAGAGAATGGGAAAAAATAAAAATCACAGATAATCCCCAAAGTTCATCTCAACCATCAGGATTCTCCTCCTGTAGTTATTTTATGGTTAATAACATAAATAGAATGACACAGATTGACAGAACGGCTCATGGGTTGTCAATAATTACTTTATTGAGCATTGCAAGGTGCACAGCATTGTACATAGCTCGAAAATGTCCAAAATTGGCTTTTGTCACACCCTCTGTAAAGGCTTCCCCAATTTCCATGGTTATGTGGGCTTTCTTCCCATTCTCCAGGGAGCCTGCTGCTAGTATGTTCACTGAATCTCTAGCCATGATGTGTTATAGGTTATCCACTGTACCACATATGCCCCCCACTAGATTTCTGAACTCCTCCAAGATGGGATCCCTGTCTTACTGATCTCTGCAAACTTGATGTTCAAAAATACATGTCTGATAGATGAAAGGCTGATTGAATGATGAGTGCTTCATTCTAGTTCCTTCTCCCAATTCCCTAGTCTGCATTTAGGTGGAAGTGCTGATGGTGAGTGAGAAGCCAACATTCAAAAGGCACAATGGAAAAAAGGAGTGTCCGAAGGCGAGGCTGATCCACAGACTAGAAAATGAGCTCCATAAGAATGAAGAGTTGGCTGACCTCCCCTGGGCCTGAGAACATAACAGAGCCACAGAAAAATCTTCAAGCCAGAGACAGGGTTCATCAATCTGAATTCTCACCTCAAAGCCCAAAGTAGCTTGGTAGGAAAGGTCAGCAGTCCAGACACCTGCAAGAGCCACTTGTAAATGAGAGGCACAGCCAACCCTCACGGTCCAGAGTAGAGGATCTCAGCCACCTACCTTTAAGGATATATTTTACTTTATTATCCATTCCCAGATTTCACAAAAGGCCGCACAAGAATAAATAAATAAGACACTAAACAACTATAGGTAAAAAAGGAGACATTTCCAAATGGCTCCTAAGAAGCAGTTTGGATGCCCTGTTCCTTGCATGGTGCCAAGGGGCTCAAGCTGCCATGGAGGCCCGCTTTGGACCTGTCGGTATACAGATAATATACTGTGAGGGAATACAGATTTGGCAGGAGGCGGTAAACATGAGGCTGTGCATGGACGGCTAATCATTTCATCACAAAGGCTGAATCCAATTGATGAGTCAGGGCCGAGACTCTGCTGGATGGATGATGGAGGAAACCCCAACCACGGTCCAGGAGGCAGCTGAGTAGTAACACACACACACCACATTATGTGACATCGCAGGTGTGGCAGGACACACACAAAAGACCTTGGCTCCTGGCCTGTCATCAGCCAGCAAAGAAACTAAAGGCAAGTCTGGCACCTCCCTGTACCTCGGTGTTTTCATAAGTTCAGGGTTTGGCCAGACCATCTCTCTTGTTAGATTCCCTTCCTTTCATCCAGCAGGATTCTTGACCCGTTAGTACCAAGGCAAACCCTCACCCTTCTACGTACCTTCACGCTGCTGAAAAGAAGGGAAGCCCAGCTACAGATGTTCACACTCACGAACAGAAGTGTTGGTAAACAACTGCTCAAGAGTCTTGAAGAAATCTAGCACATATCTCCCTGTCATGGGCTAGCCTGATGTTTGTAACTCCCAACATCGTACCCCTAATTGATCAGGATGGCTACGCTTCTTACTTTGGGTGCAATTCAATTATTTTTCAGCAAAATGTAACTCCCTGCACTCACATTTCTTGTCTTACTGACCCGCTGCAAATAACTGGCTCATTATTCTCTTCTTGTTGCCTTTCTGGATCCCAGGTATTTGCAATGACTTTCAGATGAATGGTACCCTGCACCCCCAAGATCGGTACTTTACAGTTGGCCCCTTTCTATCTCACAGCAACTCTTTAGAATGTTCAGAAAAATCCAGATGATTCCAGCTCAGCTGCGGAAGGCAGGGCAAAGTTTGGAAGATTCTGCTTTCTCTTGCAGGGCACAATTTAAAATAGCAAGTGCTTGATCAAAAAAAAAAAAAAAAAAAGGATTAGCTCTCAAATCAAATTTGCTTTAAGGGGAGACTTATGTTTTCTAGCCTCAAACACACTAGAAAAATAATTTCCTAAGACATAGTGATTGTTAATCAAGTTTAGACCTATATAAACTTAGATACATATGGATATGGACTTTTTTTCTGAGATAGCTAGAATAGTTTTTCCTTTGTGGCTCTTTTGTACACACTTAAACCAAAACAATTTAAGGACAGAGGTCTGAGTGCTTTACGGTAATGCGTACTTCCTTGGTGTCTAACAAAGACTGATTGAGAATATTAAAGAATGCAAATTTTCCTATTAGCTTAACATGTCAGTCTTTGCGCTCACTCTTGCCAGCGAGAGATTTCATTTACATCAAGTTAATCCAAGCTTGGTTAAGGATATTCTCAGACCTGCAGCACCAACTCAGGGCAGGGCTCTCTCTGACCCTTGCAATTCTCTTCTTTACACCCAAGAGGACTGTACTAGACTGTTCCAAGGGCGAAAAAATGTTGCCCTTACATTCAAACTTTGTTATACCACATTTAACATAAAATGCTTATCATTACCTAAAAGAAAAATGCAGCAAAATTCATCTTTGGAGGAAAAAAACCCCAAACAACCTTATAGGTCCTTGGAAGCCATGGAAAACTAAGGGATAGAGCAAATTCTTTATCTCTAAGAAAGTTATTTTTCAACAGGGAAGCATGTCTGCACACTCCCAAGGTCAGCCGAGTTGGAAAGAAAGAGAAGCAAATGAAAATGAAATCAATATCGGGGCGCCTGGGTGGCTTAGTCGGTTAAGCGTCCGACTTTCGCTCAGGTCATGATCTCGCGGTTCGTGGGTTCGAGCCCCGCGTCGGGCTCTGTGCTGACTGCCAGCTCAGAGCCTGGAGCCTGTTTCAGTCTGTGACTCCCTCTCTCTCTGACCCTCCCCTGCTCACGCTGTCTCTCTCTCTCTCCTAGAAATAAATAAAACATTAAAAAAAAAAAAAAAAAAAAAAAGAAAATGAAATCAATATCATCTATATCGGTTCGGCCTTAAGTCTCAGAGAATAACAGAAACAAGATTCCTTTCTCATTTGCTTCAAAATTCTTTGGATTGCAGTTGCCTTCTAATTCTTCCCTTCTCTGTAATTCTTAGTTATCACAAATGAACACCAGAGAATCTCGGGTGGTCCATGTGTAGCAGGATGAATAAGGATTCTAATGCTTGTCCTATACATAATCCCACCCTCAACCTTTCTCTTAGGTCAGTTCTAAATTATACCATCTTCCTTTGCAAAAACATGCAGATACCCCTACCCAAGGCCAAAATATAGTGGTAATTGACAGTGAACAGAAACCCATTGCAAAGACAAAATATTCCAGCTTTCTCTATTAAAAAAAAAAAAAAATCAAATTCACTGTAACTGGACACTACTAGGTCTTTTGCGTTCTAGAACTCCCCAGAATTGTCAAAAGTAACCTTATAGCCAATCCTCTTGCAGATACTAAAAAGAACCTGAAATAGGCCACCCATAGTACCAACAGCAGCGTCAAAGAGCAAAGAGATGGTGCCACCAAGTCCCACTGCTATGTCCTTGCACACAATCGGAACCGCAGCGATGGTGTGCACAGGGAACGTGGCCACATCCACAAGGACTCGGACAGGAATGCCCAGAACGCGGCAAACGGCCTTCAGCAGACAACAAAGGATCCGGAGAATGGCCCTGATGATTTTGACCATGACTTTGAGTACCTTCCAGGGAATGCTTGCCAGCTCTTCCCCAATGGCCAAGAAGTAGGAGACGGTGGCTGAACCCAGGCGGTAAAGGCCACTTTCTATGCCATTAATCACTTGCTTGGTAACAAACCACAGAAAGTACATCATGTTCTTCAGGATGCCCACGGCAAGATAATAAAGTAACTGGAAAAGCCTGATGATGGGGGTCGCGAGCAGGCCCATAAACTTGCCCAAAAAGCTACTCCTCTCCTCAGATGCCTCTGGGGGCAGCAGAGCAGATCTCTCGCTCTTTGCGCTAGGGAGGGCACTAGCACCCTCTTCCGATTGCACCGTCCGCTCTTCGTCCTGAACCTGGTTAACCATTTCCAGGATTTTTTTCATTCTCTCCGTGTCTTGCTCGGTTTCACCGCAGTTGTCCCGGAACAGCTGAGGGTTAAACGGAAGCAGTTTCTCCAATTCTTTCACCATCACGTCTTCTATGACGTCACCGTCCCGGGTATGCTTGACAAAACCCATGGCCCAGCCGCTGCCAGGGACAGCACAACAGGCCGCCAGCCAAACAAACGCAGGGATGGACACTTTGCCATGCACTCTGCGGTCTGAGGGCACAGCGCCCGTGAGGATATACAGGTCTTCCCCACTGCCACACTGAGGGCTCAGGGCGCGGTCCATTAGGCTGTTGACATTCATGTACCACCGCTCCCGGAAGGATGGGGTCATCGGAGCTGCATTCGTGAGAGCGAAAGTAGCCACGTGTAAATCACTGCCAAGCGAGAACGGGTACAGCTGTCCTCTTTGGTAATCAGAATCCACGTAATCTGCACTCAGGGCTTGCTTGCTTCCCAGGTTGTTCACGGAGGCGATGGCATCAGCCTCATCAGTCACCTCCTCCAGGTTGCTGGTGGGATCGTCAATCTGAAAGAAGAGAGCAAGTATTGAGATGCTGTTCACAGTGGAATCGCTGCGCTTGAATCCTTCCTCCAAGGCGCTAGGGTCCCTATGGCATGAACCCTCTGAGCACTGGGGTTTGGAAGCGCTTGGTTCTCTGGTGCACACACACTTCGTCTGAATATCCCACGACTCTGGTGTCCGATAGCGGCTTCCAGCTAGGCTGTTTCCTGTTTGATGTCCTGATTACACTCACCCCTGCTCTATGATAACACCCTATCACACACGCACACCCACGCACTTGCACATGCCTGCACTTGCATACACACACACAACACACAGACACACAAACTGGGTATGATCAAGTCATTTTACCATATCATTTATAAAACATTAAATCCCCAGGTCTTCTGACAGTCCGCTAGCTGACCTCCGCTGACAGAAGTGCCCATTACGATTTCTATTCCCTGTCTTAAAGCCAATTTTTTAACCTATGACAAAACAGTCTTCTGATCCCAAGCTGACTAGTATTTTAATGTCATCCGTTACAGTATCATCTGAAAATCTAAACAAAGTCAGTAAAACAGCTTGCCATCATCATCATGCTTACCTAACTCTGCAGAGCAATCAAGTATGTCTTGGTAGGCTTCACTTTCTGAAGGAGTCAGTGTGTATGAATTAAAATACCTAACTCAGGTATGGAAAACTGTACTAAAAACAGTAAACATATTTGATTTAGAAAGTCTAATATATTCTTTGACCTGCTGTCATGCAAAGGGAGATGGATTTTTCCACGCTCTCTGCATAGTTTAATGACCTGGCTATTGCCATTATAGTAAATTACTGACAACACTACTCTCTGAAGACAAAAATACGCCTATGAGGTAAGGGGTAATTTCAGATTACATTTCTAGGTGACATCTGTCCTTTTGCACACACCACTGAATCTTACTCCTTGGTTTCCCAGCGGAACCTGTGGGCAGAGGCACAGGTACAAAGCTCTCTCTGTGTAATCCACCTCCCCAATGACCCGGTCCCCCTGGGCCGCCCACGTCATTTGATACAGTTCCTGTGTTTAATGGAAAAATTTTTTCCTAATCACAACATGGTAAGTAGGTTTTAGAAAAATGAACTCTCGCCCTCCACCAGCATCCGGCCCCATAAATAATCTTATAATAAATTCCTTTTTCAAATTTAGTACAAGAAAAAAAAAAAACTGTCTCAACCAATGAGTTGGCCTTTATACCGGACAGTAAAAGCTATTAAAACCCATGGGATTTCTTTTGTGTTAGAATTAAATGAAAGGAGAGTTTCCATTTTCTTGCCAACATGCGTGTAAGAAAAATAGACTGACAGAAAACTGCAAAGGAGTACTGGAGGGGAAATATTCACCCACTCAGCAATATTTATTAAGCGTATATTGTGTGGGACCAGTACTATAGAAGGAAGCATTAGGACTGGTAACAAAAACCACCACTACCACCACCACCACTTAATAAGCACTATATGGCAGGCACTATTCTACGAACTTTATGTGGATTAAATCAGCGAGTGTCTATGCTAAGTATTCACTCATTTAAACTTACAAAACAAACTGGGTACTGTTATGATCATCTTTTGACAGATGAAGAAACTGAGGCACATCAAGATTAAGCTTACTCAAGGTCACACTGTGAGTGGTGACATCACCATGTGAATGCAGAAAGTCCAGCCCCATGGCTGGTGTCCTCAATCACTGCCTTATATGCCTCAAAATCGGCCTTCACATTAAGAAATTCACCATCTATTTAGGGAAACAAGACAAAGGTACAAAGTTAAATAGGAAACCAGGAGAAAAACAACAGTGCAGTGCGGTTTATGTTAATTGCTGAATACATGAAACACAGAAAAATAGCAAATCTATTTTCGGAGGAAGGAAGGGCACAAGGAATGCAGTCAAAGATGACTTCCTCCCGAAGAAGACAGAAGCTGAGGTGATATTAGAAGGATGTGCAAGATGGGGAGAAATTTAGTGAAACAGAAAGGTCAGTAAGACTTAACAAGACTTCTCCACCAAAGAAGGCATGGGGGCAGAGACCAGCAGCCGGTGAAAATCAGATTCTGACTAAGGAAAAGTGAAGGCTGAATTAGAAATGATAGCAGGAAGCAGATTATAAATGGTCTGATATTGGGGCGCCTGGGTGGCTCAGTCGGTTGGGTGTCCGACTTTGGCTCGTGTCATGATCTCACGGTTCATGGGTTTGAGCCCCACATCAGGCTCTGTGCTGACAGCTCAGAGCCTCTGCTTGCATTTCTGTGTCTCCCCCTCTCTCTGCAGCTACCACTCCCACTGTTTCTCTCTCTCAAAAATAAACATTAAAATGGGGCGCCCGGGTGGCTCAGTCGGTTAAGCGTCCGACTTCGACTCAGGTCATGATCTCGCGGTTCATGGGTTCGAGCCCTGCATCGGGCTCTGTGCTGACAGCTAGCTCAGAGCCTGGAGCCTGCTTCAGATTCTGTGTCTCCCTCTCTCTCTGACNACTCCCAACAATAGCAAAAATACACATTCTTCTCAAATGCACATGGAACATTCTATGGGATAGATTATACATTAAGCCATGAAACAAGCCCTTAATAAATTTTAAAGTGTTGAAATTATATCAAGTACATTCTCCAACTACAATTGAATTAAATTAGAGGTCAGGGGCGCCTGGGTGGCTCAGTCGGTTAAGCGTCCAACTTCGGCTCAGGTCATGATCTCATGGTTCGTGGGTTTGAGCCCCGCATCGGGCTGTGTGCTGACAGCTAGCTCAGAGCCTGGAGCCTGCTTCAGATTCTGTGTCTCCCTCTCTCTCTGACCCTCCCCTGCTCACGCTGTCTCTCTCTCTCTCAGAAATAAACATTAAAAAAATAATAAATAAACGTTAAAAAAAAATCTTTTAAAAAATGGTCTGATATATAGACAACTCATCACAGGATAATTATCACTACCACCTAGAGAGTGCTCACTACGTACCAGGAACCATGAAAAGTGCTCCAAACAAAGCATCTTTTTTAATCCTAATAGGGTCCCCATTACCCCAGATGAGGCCAACATTGTAAAGCAGGCTTGTCAATGACTACAATTTGGAAAGCACTGCGCTGCTGCATCCATTCACTCGTCACAGAACCCTCCCAGCTCGGCGTTACCGTCATCTCCGTTTTCCGCACAGGAGCACGAAAACTTAAGCCTCAGGTACAAGGTCACCCAATATGCAAGTGGCAGGGCCAGGGCTAACACCCAGCTTCTCAGGCTCCAACACCCCAGCCCCATGCCAGCAGTGGCCTAGGCCTCTGGGGGAGCAAGGAAACGCGAGAGCCACAGGGCGGCCATGCTGGAGGACAGGCAGAGGACAAGAGACAACTGGAAAACACTGATGGAGCCACAGGAGTGATTTCCAGTGTCATCTAGTGTCACATCAAAAGTCAAGGAAGAAAAAAGCTTTGGCTGGAGAGGACCAACAGTGTGGCACCCGCCACAGAGAGGAAAGGGAAGGATGGAGACGAAGATCAAGGCCTTCGATGATTCCAGAATCCTTAGTGAGACTTCAAAGGGCGAAGTCCACAGAGGGCTGGGGAAAGAAGACAGGTGGCGGAGGGGACTGGACAGAGCAAGAGCGGGCAGTAGACCGCTTATCTGAGAAGCTTCAGGTAAAGACAGGAGGTGCGCAGGCCCTTCGCTGGGGAGCAGGGTTCACGGGGATAAGCAAAGATGGTCTTCCAGCGGCCGCACACCACCCAGGGAAAGGGGCACTGGGAAGGCGGGGCTGCTTAGGTCTCTGTGCAAGGGAGCATTTGGGGATTCAAAGGCATCTATCTCAGGGGCACAGTGTCACTAGGCAGGGCCCAGGCCCTGAGGGCTTCTGGGCTGCGAGGTCCATGCAAACCTCAGGGACACAAGTCGCCTGGTGCAGATTTGCCACAGGGGAGTCTGTTGCTGAGTGGGGAGGAAGAGCTGTTTGTCGACAGTGAGAACACAAACACGGAGCCTCAGTAGCCATACTCTGTCCCCGTCCTTCCTCCTTCCTCTTCTGCTCTTCTCAACTCCTCTAGGGTTACAATCACACCGAGTTCACAAGCACCTTCTCTGCAGCAGTTCAGAGGCCTGGGAGGTACGGGGGAGTTCCCTTCACCCCTTCCCAGTAGCAAGGCTGGAGGCCCCACAGGGCCAGAAGACCAGGAGGTCAGTGAGCATCCCAGCCAAGACCTCCAAGACCAGTCGGGGCTGCGCCAGGGGGCAAGAGAGTGGCTGCAGCCCTGAGCGTGCACAGAGGGTCCCCGAGGGTCCCAGAAGCACAGATGCACAGAGGCTTTGCAGAAGGCTGGGATGCCCAGGTGGGGAGGATGGGAATGTGGAAGAAGCTCATCACTAGCCACCAAGATTAGTTTTAAAAAGCACACACAATGAATCCAACTGAAAAAGATACCGGGGTTTTGTGTGTGTGCGCACATGGGGGGTGTCTGCGTGTGCTGGAGAATGGGCTTCTGGGCATTGGGTCCACAAACACTGGAATCATCTCTCCTTAAGTTGTTTGTTTATTTAGAGAGAGAGGGAGAGAGAAAGCAGGGGAGGGACAGAGAGAGAGGGGGAGAGAGAGAATCCCAAGAAGGCCCCAGACTGTCAGCACAGAGCCTGATGAGGGGCTTGATCCCACTAACTGTGAGATCATGACCTGAGTCAGAGGCTCAACCGAGTAACCCAGGCACCCCTGGGATCATCTTCTGTACTTCTGTCTGCCTAAAAGCATAATGGAGACTCTGCCTATTTTAGGTTCCTGGTGGGTGCTGCTTATTAGCATCTGGTGATGAAGACAGCACCAAAGGCACAGGGGGGTGGGGCAGCAAAGGGAATGATACTGGGAGCACATGCAGAAGAGTCAGCTGGGGGAGGGGACCTGGCCGAGAACACGGTGGGGAGGGGAGGGTCTGCGGGGAATTGGTATGGGTGAGTTCTCTGCCATAAGTGGGGACACGGAGGCAGAGCGTCAGGAGGACAGGGAAGGTCTGCC